TTTGCGATCTTAATGGGTATCTATTTTTTAAGAAGTGCTGTCAGTGCTGGTATATATTTTAACTTATGGTAAAATGTACTATTGTATTGTACATGCAAAATTCAAAAATGCTAATGGCAATGTTGCCAGATTTACAGCTTTTTGTTATTTTAATGACATTATTGTTGCATGAATTGCGCATGTCCAATTTAGTAGGGTCTCGTAATTTTTTTTTATTAAGCTTCGCAACACCGCTTTTGACGCGTAAAAGTCCCGAAACATATTGGCAGTTTTGGAGATAATTAAGGGTTTCTGTACTTGAGCGTACATGACAGTCTAAAACCTGTTTGCCCTGTGTCATTTTAAAAATTTGTGACATAGAAAGTTATTAGGTATCTAATCAGATTTTTTTTATAATAGACCAGGAACTATGAGATATGTTTTTGTACTAGATTTTCATAGACGCAACTGTACAAATTTCAATAGTCCATAAAAAGATTATACTTGCGAAATTCTTAATACTCAAAGTACTCAAATATCAATATCTCATCTTCGTTTTTACCCCTTTTCTCTAAAATATTTACGATTATCTTTTTGTAATATTGTTTTTGTAATTACATATACATTATCATAATTCAAAGTTAAAATTAGAACTGTTTTATGTTTTTCTTCGATAATACACATTGTTCGTGTTGTTAAAATAAGTTTTTAATAGCTGTCGCTGAAAAATAAATGAATTACGTAAAAATGTGAACAAGTAGGAAACCAAATTAAAAATGTTCTAACGTCATTCTAAAAAAAAGTTATTAATCAGTATTTCATTTAGGTACGACTTTTCGACCACACTGTATATTTTTACGTGTAGCGGAATAGTAGTGTAAAGTACTGTATTATCATTAAAATTTATACTTTTCTTAAATAAATTCATTATTCATCATTTTTAGATATTTTTTTAAGATAAATAATATTGGTCAGCATTTTGATCAAATTCGCCTGTGTGTGCCGTCCTGAAACTTGGAGATCGCCGTAAGCAATTCTTTTTTAATTCATAATACCTGATATGTTAAATTTATTCTGTATTCTTGTATGGAACGGAATCCTGGACTCTAAAAGAGATCACAACGTGGTAAACTGGAGCCTTTGAAACTTGGATACTTCGTCATTTGATAATATTAATAATATTAATACAATAATATTAATAATATTAATAATATTAATAATATTAATACAATATTACCTACTACAATTGATCATCAAATGTAAAGTTGAACAGAAGCTTCGCTCACACAGAGGATGAAAAACATTTGAGAATTGACTGGAATAAATATTCAACCACTCGTTGGGGCAGCAGAAAGGCGAGAGGCATTTGCTGTAGTTATTCTCTAACTTCGAAGCGAAAAAGAAGAATTTGTGGATATTAGATAATGTGGCGGGTTTATCAAGTTTATTCGTAGAAAAACTTGGCTGTAATTATTGAACCGCGGTATTGCTTTGGTCTGTTTCGCGTTCACAGCGACATGAAATATAACTTTGTCCCCGTTTCGCACAGGTTCATAAGCAAACTTTATGAAACACCATTAACTCTTAAAAATCGTTTCGCCAAGCAGCGACACGTTGACGTAATTAACGTTGTTTGTATTTTGGAAATTTCCCCCGATTTTCGCCGCGTCTCACGTTTAACCTAACCGAAAACGGATTGTCTAGCCCTTTACCGGCGGTTCTTTGTTCATTAGGAAGGGGTCGTTAAAGAGTTATGCGTACGACACGGCGAACAGGTGCGTCGAGACACACAACGGGTGTAATTCCGTTTCGTGGGGATAGAAAAACAGCACCACTATCGTCTCGCGAGCGCCTACACCAATTCAAGCCCTCTGAATCCGACAAGAGCTTAATATCATCCCCCTCGGCCAGCGTCTAGCAAAGTTAGACTTCTCGTTTCCACCCCTTTCGCTCTCTCCGTTAATATAATATCTATCTCGATCCCTCGTAAGGGACGAAACGGGACACGTGGGGGAGGGGGGCCAAATACTCTGGGGGGTAATTTAGTGTATATGCTCCGGTTTTATTTGTAAATGGGATTTGGGCCCGTCCGCCCCGGTCGTTTAAGATGTTACGGCCGCGACCTTATGGCGTCTGGTTGCGGTTTTGGGAAGGTTCGGTTACGTCGTTACCGGTATCATTGCCCTTTAGCCCTTCGCTGAGTCAAGTTGTGTTCACCTTATTTTTATAAATGATCGTTATACGTTCATTTTTGAATTTTAAAAGAGCACCGAAAAGCGACTCTTTTGGCCACATTTAAATGTAGCTAGATCGAGGGCCTGATAAATGTATATAAGGTTAATTGAGGCCCTCGCAAAACTCCCGTTTTTAAAATTTTTGAACTAAATATGTAGAAAGTCTTCTATGTGCAGTGTACCTTAAATTTGCTGTCCCATATGGAGAACCATTTAAGGTAACTCATTTGCAACTAGTTTTTTATGAGAAACGCAACTCGTATTTGTATATATCCCACATTTTTGGAAGTTACAAGATAATCAGAGCGTGTTATGGTAATTTTTAGAGTTGCGGCTGGTGAATTGACCGTTAATTGACTAGTCAAATTAGATTAAAATGTTTTAAATCACATCTTGCAATTGTAGAGTGTTATCTATCATTATTTAATAATAATTACCTATAATCCTCTTCAAGGAAAATAGGTAATTAGGCAAATAGCAATAAAAATATCCACCTCTTTTAGTTTCAAAACGACGCGATGCCGATGTGTTCCACAATATAAATAAATACATATTAATTTTATTGTATTTGTAAAATTATTTCGGTCAATTGACACAAAAAATTTATCCGGTCAATTCCATAACGTGATCCATCGTTTTAAAGGAAAATTTATAATAATAGTGATAACAATATGTAAAACATAATTGCAAGTCCCTTAAAATAGATACCAAGATTATGTTATATCTCGAACACAATTGCGAAAAACACTAAAAAATGTACCCTTCAAAAAATTCAATTTTTTGAAATAACATGAGAGAATCACTCTGTAGCTCTGTAGAAACGAGTTGATATACATATGCTAAAAATAACTCAAACTATCAAATCCCATCGAAAGTGATCCATGTAAGCTTATAAAAACAACAAACTTGTTTTTATTCGAAATTGTATAGTAAAGTTTCAAAAGTAACTCGAAATTGTAGGTGAGAATTTCGAGATTTCAAAAGTTTCGTGTGCGTACTCGAAATTTTAGATCAACACATCGTGTTTCTTTTGGAAATATTGTTCGTCAAACTCAAAATTTTAGAGCAAAATTTCAACATAACTAAAAATGATCAAATTTTATAATAATCATGTCTCTCTCTCTCCTCCTCCCTCTCCCTCACTCTCTCCCCTCTCCCTCCCACCCTCCCTCTCTCGCTCCCTTTATCTGTTTTTAATAATTTTTGCATTTATTTTTAACTTTTCCCATTTTTACCGTTCTTTCTGCCTGAGACTATTGTTATAACATTAGTTGGCCATGACAAAATGACAAATTTTTAGCTGATAACTGAGTAGATAAATTCGTTAAATTTATTGTGGTGTCAGTACAATAAATAAAACTATGTATAGATTTTAGTAAAGCTGAGTTAATTGATATGATTTATAAACTGCGTGAGGTGGGAAAAATACTGTAAGGCGAAGTACCCTAATAATATATACCAACTAGACAATCTGTTCAGTGTTTAATGGCACGGTTTGATGCTAGTGTAATATTGAATATGAAAAACGTAAAGAGTTAAACCGGAATGCTACCAATGAGAAAAGAGAATTGGAAATTTTACTTCATATTCAGTACTACAACTAGCACCAAACCGTTCCATTGCACACTGAAGAGATTGTCTGGTTGGTATACGTATCTTAGGGCACTTCGCCTTGTGAAGTCTTAGTGCCAACTGTATAATTTTAAATTGTGCATCCTGACAATCTACAACTTTTGTATTTACCATTTTCTCATAACTTTTGAATGATATATGAGACTATGAACTCTATGTTATTCTGTACATATCCAATTACACAAACAGTAAACGTGTATTGTGTACGTATTAATTTTAAATTTCAAAATTCCCTGTTAGAAATTCGAAGTTTTAGATTAAGGTCCTTGCTACAATTGCGTAAAAACTTCATTCATTCGGTTCGAAGCAATTAGATGGATTTTATTTAAAAAAAAAGGAACACCTAATTGTTAGATTCTTCGCATATGAGATTGTGGAGTTCTCCCAGCTTGAAATAATTAGTGTAGCAGATAGAGGATACTACACGTCGATGTTTCAATTACACACCGACAGGCATTGCTGCTTTCCGTATGGCGGACGATAGGATCGGCGTCCAGCGGTGAAGCAGTTACGCCTAAATAAGGACGGTAATGCGTTTCAGCTGTCCCGAACAAGCCCGTTTCTTACGCGTTAAGAGATAAAATAACAGAAACCGATGGGCGCGATTTGACTTTGCACTAGTCTTGCGAATCGCCTTGAAATTTAGAATGGTGAAAATTCTGCCGTTGTTATTTCGATTTTGGTTAATTTTTTTGTTGAAATATTGATTGAGGTAGTTTATGGACATATTAAAAAAATAATTCCCTTATTCGATACGTTAATAAATTATTCTTACAAAGCAATCAATTAATCAAAAATAAATAAATAAAATAAACGTAACAAAATCTTACGAAATTCCTGTACGATCTCATTTAAAAATTCATGTCAAAATTGTCTTATAATTTTTGCGCATAAAGAAGGCATTGTCATTATTAATAATATTGTATTCACATCATGGTTCGTAAACGTTGTTGCTCTTGTTGATACAATTTTGGGAAACTATTGATATTAAAAGGATACAGAAAGTGTAAAAAAGCGTTTATGACAGGATATTTATTTGGATGATTGTTCACTGATATCCGTGACAAAACATGCTTCTCTTGCCTTCCTTTTAATGGCATTTCTTGTTTCTTTCTTTTGCTCGCTCGTTGAAAGGGACTGGTTTGTATTTTTTAGGCTGGACAAGACGCTCCAGGATATCGTTTACAAACTGGTGCCGGAACTTTTCGTCAAGGAGATGACGAGGAGAAAAATCTTTTACCAGCAGTACCCCCAGCTGGCGACGAGGGTATCGCCCGAAGAACGTGGCGAGGACACCGAAAGAACCATTTTCAGTCCGCAGGAGAAAATCAGTTTGTCGTTGGAGTACATCTGGTGAGTCGAAACTTTTTTTGGTATTTTTTCCATGACCAAAATCTCTTGGATTAGGAAAATTTTGTTCAGGCCGTTGCGAATTGGAAATATATGTTTTTATGTTACTCTGAGTGGTAACTGATGTTTTAAATTTCTTCTGCTGTCATAAAATAAAAAAAATTCCGTTTATTGGAGGACGTTAGTAATTATTTAAATCACTGCGTCTTCTCAATGACTTTTTTAACAAACGCATCATCTCGTTTGAAAGAGCTACGTAAGTATTTTCATTCGTTCTAAGTCCATGGTTTCATATGAAATCGCTATAGGGTCGCAATTCCCAATAATGATAGTTGCTTTGATCTTGTGACGAAAATTTAAGTCATACGGTATATCTTCGATGTCGCAATCAGAAAGCTGATCAATTTGCGTAAGAAAAACGCTAAAACTGCAATAAATTTCAGAATATTTTTTAGCACTTTAATTTGAAAAAATGGTTATTATTTTCCAAGAAATTCCTGTTGGCACACTTGCCGACGACTTTAACATCCAACCAATATCTTTAATTCCTTCATTTTCTATTAGTTCTGCTTTTTCTTATTTATGATCTTTTGTGTATACCACACGCTTCCTATATAAGCTTTGATCTATTATGTTAAGATCTCTCTTTGCATACGGAACGAATTTTGCCGTTCGCAGAGAAAAGTGTTGCGGATAATAACTAAGTTGATTTTCAAGTTTCCCCTTCTTGTGCGTCCTTGTTCACATAATTATGAGCTTCATTTACCAATCAGTATCCAACCCATTGCAGAAGTTCACCAAAAACTTAACGCAGATTGACATCGACGGAAAACATTGAAGAATCTACCGTGGGATTGGAAATAATGTTATTCTATTTTTAAATGCAGCAACAAAATTAGGTTTGACTTTTGACAATTCTCTAGCATTTGATTTTCACATTTAAAAAAAAAACTTAAAGCCTTTCATTGTTTGATTACGCAAATGTAGATTGTCTGTGTTGGCAAACTAAAAGGCCAATACAAAAATTGCAAAACTCCTAAATGCGTTTTGCCAATAAACGTGGGTTTATAAAATTATAAGATCAGCTAAACGGGTTTATCTTATTGAGATGTTCCAACTTCTTCCATATGCCGAAAGAACAAGAAGAGGTTACTGTAAGTTAGGTAACTTACATTGTTCCTCGTTATTTCACATTTACTTATGTGACACAAAATTAATAAAATTTAAATTACTTACAAAACAAAATCTACTTTTAGAATAATTAATTTAAAAAATCAATGGAAATTTTTGTTTATCTTTAGTTGTATGTTTAAACTCCTATGGCACCTTTACCGTCGATTTGGGTTTGGGTCTCCTTTTTCTCCGATTGTTCCCTTTGGGGCACCGCTCAGTCATGTTTCAAGTAGTTACAAATTAAGCCTTAGTCGTAATATACTGTCACATCTTTTTTTTTTAATTTTTCTTCTTCAAATAATAGCCATGCGATATATTAGCGCGCTTCTAGGTTCGGTACTGTTGTAGACTCTACGGCCTTCTCGCTAACCTTTAGAAAGGTGTTGGTGAGATGGTGTTTTTTGTCAAAATTTGATTTGTGGCGTAATTCGTCAAATTATATTGTCTTTTCTTGTTATTACTATTATTATTATTATTATTATTATCATTAATATTATCATTATTATTAATTTTGTTAATATTATTGTTATTGTTATTGTAATTTGATTATTATTTTTTTCGTATCACCTTTAGGAGGGGGAGGTATCGTTTTAAAAGCTAACCGGACCGAAGCCAAGGTTACCCTTCATGCAACACGTATTATTATTATTATTATTATTAATAATTATTAATTATTAAGTGAATTTACGACCTAACCATTTCAGATTAAATTCAAGCAGAAAACTTCTTAACGCACTCACCGAAAAGACATCTTTCAGGACAACACCTGTCATTTTGCCACCTCAATAATATTTGTAATTTTTTATTTTAAAGTAAAACTTTTATTGACGTGCGTACATACAATATTTGTGATACGCATCGAATTAAATAAAAAAATTGTTAAGAGATGTCTCTTTATAAAGCAACAGTATGCCCCCCGGTACACATAACATTTACATCCGTATTGATGAAAAGTTCGGTTTTAATGAAAAGTGAATAATTGGTGTTTGTTTTGGAGCGGTAAAACACTGAAAGCTCGGTGCATAGTAATTTTTGTAAAATAGCCGCCCCTTTTTCTCGAAGTACACTGCGCGGTTTACATACTATCACGAGCGAGTCCGGCCCTGGCCCTCCACGTCTGCGTTCCAAGAACTGGGATATACGCAGTCAGTCGAAAAGAGGAACCGGAGCGAGCAAATGTAAACTGATTCGTAATATAAATTCGGAGTAGTGCATATACTGAACGGTACAGTGTTAGCGGCTTTATTTTGGTAGAAATAAATTTTTCGCGGAGCGACGATTATTGTCCATTTAAAAGCGCAACAATACTCTATCGGGATACTCGGCATTGAAATAATAACGAGGAACTGAGGCACTCGCAAACAAAACCATCGGCGGCGATTTACCTGCTCCGCCACGCACCCCCTCGCCGCCGCCCTTAAAGGGGATGTTGCCGTCGGCGGCGGGAGGGCGAGCGAGAATCCCGACCACCTCATCCCGAAACGAGTTATACGTACGCGGGAGGGGTGGTGGAAACGACGAGGGACGAGCGCGACGCTAAAATCTCCGTCGGTATTCATTATTATTTTTCCAACGGGTGGTGGGGGGTGAGGAGCGTTCGGGCGGGGGAGTTCGTCGAGCGGATTTGCATTATCAACCGCGCGATTACTTTTTAACGGACCTGAAAACAAACGGGAATTAATCGGGGAGCGAGGCTTAATGATAATGCTAGCCCACGCAGGCTAATTTCAACCAGGATATTGCCCGTTGCACCCTAAAAGAAAACTGCACTAAATAAATAAATAAATAAATACCCATTTTTTTGAAATAAATTGAGCACAATTACGGGAAACTGTAGAAAAATTATAATAAGTAATTATAACCAGTAATAAATACTTAGACATTTATTACTGGTTAACTGAATACAAAAAAAGAAAAGAAAATGGTGGGTCAAGGTCTAGGAAGTAATATACTCAAAGAGTCATGACATATATATATATATATATATATATATATATATATATATATATATATATATATATATATATATATATATATATATATATATATATATTCTCACGTATTGATTCACGGATGGAAAAATGGGATGACACTATATTCCGGGATATCATCCGTTCGCTCGTTGAACTCTGACTGGAATCCTGCAGACGTTTCGCCAAAATCTCACTTGGCATCTTCAATGCTCGCGCTCCGAAAACCAGTGTTCGAAGTGTTTTCTGAGCGCGAGCATTGAAGATGCCAAGTGAGATTTTGGCGAAACGTCTGCAGGATTCCAGTCGGATGCAGGATTTGCAGGATTCCAGTCGGAGTTCAACGAGCGAACGGATGATATCCCGGAATATAGTGTTATCACATTTTTCCATCCGTGAATCAATACGTGAGAATATATATATATATATATATATATATATATATATATATATATATATATATATATATATATATATATATATATATATATATATATATATATATATATATATATATATATATATATATATATATATATATATATATATATATATATATATATATATATAGATATATATATATATATATATATATATATATATATATATATATATATATATATATATATATATATATATATATATATATATATATATTGCAGAAACTGGTAAATGTATTACAACTGAGGAATGCGAGTTATAAAAATAGTAAAATTTAGTAAGTAGCCACAGTCAATTGTGTAATAGTATATACAGGCTGATGTAAATTAAGTTCTTCATTGGTAACTTTGTTATAAGTAGAGGTGCAAAATCGGTTAATTTTAAAATAACGAAAATGTACTCTTATTATTTGTTATTTAACAAATCCAAATGACTGAAAGTTTGCTTCCGACAAAGGAGAATTACAATAATTTGATAGTATTCACGTTGAGGCCCAAAGATTGTTAAGCAGATGGGCATCAAGGTACGACCGCTATCAAATGTGATATATATCAAGATCCTTGAATTCTTTACCCTTGCACATTGGATAATCACTCATATAGGAATCGTACATTAACACACTACGCAAAATATCATTGACAAAATATTGTCAGTCGTAATACTAACTAAAATAATACGATTTGTAGCAGGCCAAATCATTGATAAACAGTAAACAGTAAAGAGTAACCGTCCCAAACAAGGGCCTTGTGGAACTCCTCTACTGACTGTCTATGTCCAAACAAATAAGAAGAAAACAAAATTGTCAGTATATTGCAAAACCCCATAGCATCAAGTTTTCATAAAAGAATATGGCGATCAAACTGCTCTAATGCCAACGATAGGCAACCTAAATTTGCAATACATCTACAACTAAATCTAACTTAATATATAAATATAATGTCGTATATGTTTGATTGAATACACCTTAACTTTACCTCGTTTGTACAATATAAAATGACAGTTGCAGCAGGTTCCAAATCATAATAGGAATTGCATAAGACGTTAAAAAAACAATTAATTTCACAAACTTCTACACCGTGCAAGCAAGCACAACTTTTTTATACTTTTGAAAATGCAGCCTCGTAATTTTGCCCGTCAGACAAAAATTTCAAAATCTAAACAATGCGTTTTACAGTGCCACCACAATTTAAATTTTGAAATTTCAATGTTACAAGCTCTTATGAGTTGTAAGTTGTAGTAATTTGCAGTAGTTTCAAGACGTTAGCAAAAATGTAAGTAAATAAAACAGATATAAGACCGGCTGACGACAAGATTGACGAGTGTTGCTTTCCCAGAATTTGTAATCTACGGTTGTACCAAATAGTTTGACACTCGGAAATTGGCATTTGACATTCGAATGAGCACCGTTTGTTTTTCTTG